TAAGAAACAGACTGTAGAAAGAAAACATGCATTGAAACTTAGCTAGTTAAAAATAAGAAACAGACTGTAGAAAGAAAACATGCATTGAAACTTAGCTAGTTAAAAATAAGAAACAGACTATAGAAAGAAAACATGCATTGAAACTTAGCTAGTTAAAAATAAGAAACAGACTATAGAAAGAAAACATGCATTGAAACTTAGCTAGTTAAAAATAAGAAACAGACTATAGAAAGAAAACATGCATTGAAACTTAGCTAGTTAAAATTAAGAAACAGACTATAGAAAGAAAACATGCATTGAAACTTAGCTAGTTAAAAATAAGAAACAGACTATAGAAAGAAAACATGCATTGAAATTAAGAAATAACTTATAACCTAATGTTCATGTTTCCGTGCTGTAGAAGTGGAGTTAGCAAACCCAACTCGACTCTTTCCCAGATCAAACTCTGTATAATACGGCCCTAAAAATACATCTCCTAAGATCCACAAGGGTCCAAGGGGTTTAGGGACATCTAGGCCTATAAACCCACTGAGACAGATTTTAACACTGGCTTGACTGATCTGAAAATAACAAGTGGGGATGGAAGTTAGGTGACAAGGTGACATGGGCAGGTGAAAAAAACGGGGAGGGAGACAAGTTCTTGATCGATCTGAAATTAAATAGCATAATGTGCAGGTGATGAAACAAGGGAGTGTTCTGTGGCAATTCTACAGAGAAGCCCTCCGAATTGAGGCTTGCCCAGCTTTGGCCCCACTATTATTTTTAGCCCCCTTGACTATTCTCTGGCCCTGTCTTGACTAATCCATAGAAAAGCCACTGGGAGGGTTCTTTGCCAGATAAAGTTAAGTTTGGATTGTATGTCTAAAAGTCTAGGAAGCAAAGCAAGGAAATCATGAAGTTTCAATAATTTTAGTCCTCAAGATATTTCCCATACCAAAAAACTTCAGATGGCTGTGTTAAACATTCATTCAATCTGAAATAGTCTGGCAATTGCAGGCAGGGTTGTAATTCTAATACAAATTGTGGGTAATGGTCAGTAGAGGTTTTAGGGGCCATAATTAAAATTATCAAGCTACATACCACAAGCACGTAATCTTTTCCTTGTAATGTAAATGGTTTTCCTCCTAACATGAAGGTAATTGGTGGCAGACTGGAGATTTTATTACAATCTACCATATACTGAAAATACAGAATTAGAAATATTAAAACAGAACCTAAAACATGTTGTTACTCAGAGTTTCAATCTATGCGATCTTCAGACAACTGATCTATTTCAGCCTGGTTGATCCTTCAAGGGATACGGTTGTCTAAATCCTGCATTCCCATTGGACATCAGTTGTTCCTATCACTTATAAAAATTATAATTTGACTTAAAGATCGTCTGCATTTAAAATATAGGGGGGCTCATTCTCGAAAACTTAACTATAGATAAAATCTAGATAGTAAGAAATACAGTAATCTTATTGGATAATAAAACTAAATTCAAAATAGAATTTAGTGTTTGACCAATCAAATGACTGGAATACTAAAATCATCTTAAGTTAAGTATTTGAGAATAAGGCCCATACCCTTTATAAAAATAATTGAAGATTTGTCATGTATGTAATAGTATAAAGTAACACAATGTACCTACCTCTCCCTTAGCTAATGGAGTAGCTCCAATCATGGTCTGTAACTTGGCAATCTCGTCGGAAGGTCCGGCTAGAAGTGAGGTACCAGTATCAGCTATAGCTTGACAACCTCCTGAACAGAAAGAACTGGCCTTGCCATCTACATTAATACTGAAATTGATATGATAAAATTAAAATTTACAATTAGAAATGTTAATCAGAAAATTTAACAATCACATACCAATCAAGGTACCTATGTCATTTACTTGCTGATTATTGATTCTAAAAATAAAACATCATAAAATCTAATTAAAATTCTAATCTGGGTCATGTGTAAAAGTCTAATGAGCTTCAATAAGTGAGCTTTCCTCATAATTCCAGTCGACCCAGCTGTTAATTAGGGTACTGATAAGATAATCCAGGAAAGATCAATGTTAAGATTTTTGACCAAAGCCCAGCTGGTAGACAGTTAAAAATTGTTTCTTTCTTTTTTACACTATTATTTGCGTATTCTTTGGAATACTGTAAAAGCCTTGCAGCTAAAAAACACACACTTAGTCTTGAAATTTTCTATCAAACAGATTTAAAGAGAATTTGAAAATCTTACCCGTCCATCTTAAATTGCCAGTATCCCTTTCTAGTAACTGGTAAATAACTAAAACTACCATTATAATGATTGGGATCACTTCCACCAAATATCAACTCACCTCCTTCTTTACCTTCTGGATTTCTACAAAATAAAATACAAATTTTATTACAAAACTAGAACGGTTATTTCTTGAACCTCAGGATTTCGATACAATAAAACTTTTGTACGAAGCTATGTAGTGTACAATGGGGCATCCTCTAATAAACTTATTCCAAACTTCTTATTCTTATTACCCTCTTAATTAAAACCTGGATGTCATGTGAATTATTCTATTGAGATTATTTGATTATTTCAGCAGATCTTAAGAATTGGAGAAAAAGGAAAATCAAGTAAAATAACGATCACCAACCTGTCAAGATAAACAGAGAAAACTGGGTCAGGAATTAGACTTTGATTGACCATGTTATAGAAGACTGGAGTAACCTGGTCTACTGAGATCGTGTCAAAACCTAATCCCAGAATGCCATCAAATTTAGCAGCAACGAAGGTAATACCGGGTTGAGTGACAGCCTCGGCGAAGGTTTGATGTTTGACGGTTATTTCACCAATCTACAAAACAAAATGTACAGGAACTCACAAGATGTTTTGTGACCGTAGAACTTTGGATTGGAAGGGGTCCCTGCCAGATTTTTCTTAAATCCTGTATATTTCCACAAATTTTTCCCAATAGTTTTAGGCCTTGGGGGCATCCACTGAGAACAAGGGAAAATAAAATGGAGAGAGCAAAACACTGTTGAACTTTTAAATTGCCATCAAATTAATTCCTTGAAAATGAGTTTTATGTCAACTTGCCTGATCCTAATTGAGCAAAAGGTTAATTTTTAACAATACATGACAACTCTGACTAAAACACACTCGGACAACTTTTCATAACACACTCGGACAACTTTTCATAACACACTCGGACAACTTTTCATAACACACTCGGACAACTTTTCATAACACACTCGGACAACTTTTCATAGCACACTCAGGCCACTTTTTTGAGACTCTGACCAATGACTATACAAACTCGAACCAGGTTTCATTACAGACTTTGACCACTTTTGAGACTCTGAGTGTGTGATGAAAAGTGGTACCAGTTTATGAAATATATTTAAAAAAGAGTGGTCCAAGTGTGTTTTGGTCCGACAGGTTAATGTTGTGGTTGAGTTAAGGAAGATTTGATTTGGGCCATTATAGAATGATCTAATACTCACTGTAACATCATCAGTACTCAGAAAACCAGTTAAAGATCCAGTACCATATTGGATGGCGAATTTAGTGCCGTTAGCCTTGTAGGTGGAGGATTTGGAGCTGTCATATTTATTGTGTAACACTGGAAAATAATAAAGAAGATATTTATATTTAACATGTGAATATTCAGGCCTTTTCTTGCTTTTTTCAATTTTACCAGACCACTTCTAGACTCTACATATGACCACATTCTTTATTCAAAGATTTAATTATAATTTTTAAAATCATATTTATAGGAACTGAAACATGTGCCTCTAAATCTGCCTCTATACCTGTCTCTATTCCAGCTTCTGATAGCCATTTTGAATTGAATATAGTTTTATGTTCTACTTTTCTGCACCATGTGGGCTATGAAGACAGGCAACTCCATGAAGGGTGCAATGAAGGAATTTTTGCCAGGACATCAGCATAAGAATGCTGTTTGTCGATTTTCAACTGTTGAGGTACTTACCCCAAAATCTGATATCAAATAAATAATATATACTTACAACAAGCTATGTCAGTTAACTTGCATTTTTTAGACGGCACCCACAGATTAGATGATCCAGTATCAAAAACAACTTTAAAAGATTGTTTCGGAGTTC